ATGTCCATGGCATGGGAAGGAGAAAAGTCAAGGTCAGGCCAGGAAATACAAAGAACAGAGTGTGGTCTCCAGCTGGTGCCATGTGGATGGGGTGATCAGGTGGGAACCTCTCTGTAGGGTAAGTGCTGTCCCCCTTTCTACATGAGGAGGCTGAGACCTCCGAGGTCACTTGGTAGCACAATCCCCCCTAGAGGAGAAGCTTCAGGGAAGTCGTAGTGAGTGGTCACGGTGAACCCAGGGCTGAACACAACAGCTCCCTCTGACCCAGCCTGGATCTACTATGCCAGGCTGCCATTCCAAGATAGGGCCCTGGGACACCTATAATCAGGGTGTCCCATAGTCAGGGGAGGCCAGTTTGGGCCAACTGACCGTTGCTGGGGAGGCAAAGGTGCTTCTGGCCTGCACTGGGTTATGGTTTCCCACAGGGTCCTTCTCCCAACGGCTCAGTCTGAGCCCTTCAGCCCGGGTCCAGATCCTTTTCATCTGCCCCTCTTACCCACGAGCTTTCAAGAGTGTTCCCTGACAGAGTGCCCTCAACTCTGCCCCTTGGGCTCATGACATTTAGCAATAAAAGTAAATGCAATTAACACCCATGGAAAGAAAGGCCCAGAGAGATGGAGGGATTTGCTGAGGCTCCAATGCTAGATGCCATCAAGCTAGACTTGGGACTCTATAGGCACATTACAGCATCCTTGTACTGACAAATGGCCCTCATCTCCTAGTGCTATGTGCTATACAGTATAGAAAACATACTTATGACATGCCAGGACCCAAGGTCCCCTCTGTGGCAGTAATGGTCCCATGCTAACAGAATCCTGGCTCTGCAGAGACACCTTCCCCAGCCAGCCTTTCCTGTCTCCCTCTAGAGGCTCCTGGACAGAGCATGGTCTTGGCTGCTCACCCCTGTAAGCGTGGGAATGGACCCATGAATTTTCCCTCAAGAGCTCTGAGGTGTTCACTGCTTGGCTGCAGGTCAGCATTGGCACTGGGAAAAATGAACCACTGCGCCCAGTGGATTCAGAACTTGTAAAAATACGGGACCCCGAGACAATTTATGAGGAGCCAGAAACTGGAGGGGGCAGCATCGAGGCCCGGGGCCACCTGGAAGCTTAAGCAGGAGCCTGGGTCTGGATCGTCCCCAAGCTGGAGCCGGTTCACCAGGATGGATTTGAACCCGGGCAGCGTTTGGTTAGAGAACTATAGTCAAGAGCATTTGGATGGCTCGGAATCTCTAAAGAGCTGAACGGGAGCTCCAGGGGTTGATGGGAGCAGTGGGGGGAGCCCAGGAGACCCAGGACTTCCTGAGAGCCCCCTTCGGTCCTGCCTGTTGCTCCAATTAGCAGCAGTAGCTGGTGGAAGTTGCATCAGGCAGAACTGCGGGCCTCAGGAGGGTCGTTGAGCTGCTACTCACTCTCCTCGGTTCCTCTTTTGGAGGCTAATTAGACGGCTTTGCTTTGCTGAGGGGTTCTCCAAGGACTAGGGTACTGTCTGGGAGGAGATCGCCCTGTCCTCAGGTGGCCTCTGCCATGTGGAACTGAGCCCCGCAACATGTGTGAGAAGCCACGTGGGAAGATGGGTAAAATACATACTTCTGGCCTCTGCCTAAGATACAGGGGCTCCAGGGAGTGGCCAGGCTCCTCTGGATTTTTATTAAGCACTGCCTCAACCTTATGCCATTGCGGATTCTGGGAGGCCCCTTTAAGAAGCCCTTGTGCTTAGAGTCAGCAAACCTGCCTTAGGATCGGGAGTCTCTGAGAGGAATTGGAGACCGTTGGTGTGAACGCACGGACCACACCACACTGGTGTCTCCTAGGAAGCTGCACCTCCCGAGCCCACGCTGAGCTCAGCATTGAACGTTCCTGCATGCTGAGCATGCGTTGTACAAATGTCGCCCACCCCGTTTTAAAGGGACTCACTGTACCAAATAGTGGACAGCAGTGCACATTGCAGCTTATTAAGAGGTTAACAGAATAACTGCCACAGGCCACATGTTTCTGACCACATTAAATTTGTCCTTTAGTGCCCGATGCCTTTTCTATGGAACAGCATGGGCCAGGTGTCAGCATGTTGAGCCTTTTTCTGGCTGGGTACTATTCCGAAAGGACGTGCCACCTTTTGTCCACTCGCGTACCCACCCTGGGCACTGTGGTTGAGATGAGACAGCTTGGCAGCTGTGCTCGAACGGCGTCTGCTGTGAACACGGCCTCTGTATGAAGCTTACCCATGAAGCAAGCACTGTTATGATGCCACAGAGTAGCCCTCTGAGACTCAGGTGAAATGACTTGTCCCCAGGGTCATTAAGCCAAAAAGTGGCAGATGCAGGACCCCCGTTATCCCCCACAGCAATGATGACTGTGGCCATCTGGGACCTTTAGGATTGTCTTCTAAATAACCACAGTTGGGGTCCCCCCACCCTAGACTCTTAAGTCAGAATCTCTATTGCTGTCAACTCTTAGGGGTGACTTTGTGTCCCTCCTTCCCCAGGGGACACCAGCCATGTGTGCACACATTTTGGGGTCTCATAGCTGGTAGGTGGGGGCACTACTGGCATCCAGTGGGAAGAGACCAGAGATTCAGGGTACTGTTAAAAAATCCAGTCATGCACGGATTGGCCCCAGTAAAGAAGGATCAGGCCCGAGGTCGGAGACACCGAGGCTGAGAATCTACGTTACAGAAGTCCAGTGGGGTGTCGGGCTGGTTTTCTGTTCAGCGTCCCTGTCAGCCTGCACACGTGTGTGCGGAGGGCCTGGGGAGGAGTCAGATGCTTGCTTTTCCCATTCCATCCCATTCAGAAGGCTTGGGCACACCTCGGGTGTGACGCCGAGACCTCCAGGAAGCTGGCTTGCTCTGTTCACATTTTTTGTTAAAGGCACCATCCCCGCAGTGCTGAAGGAGGTAGCTAGCACTGCACATGTGTCCAGGTGGCTGCTGCTGCCTGCAGGGGACCTGGAGCTGTGCAGAGAAGAGGCTGCCCCAGACCTGTGCATTAGCGCTGGTGATTCACGGCAAGGCTCCCACCCCTGGGAGAGCTCGCCCAGCCTGGCCCTGGCCTGGCTGACTGCAAGCCCTTGGCTGGCCTCCCCAGTAGCAATGACTCAGGTTTTCCACCTGTAAAATGGGAGGGGTGGCTCTTGCTGGCATCTCCAGTGCCAGCAGCCCCTACCACACCCCTCCCCCACTCCATCAAAGGCAAGTATAAGAAGCCACCTCTGCGGCTAGCTGCTGTTTCCACTGCTGGTAAATCTGCCTGTGCAGTAGCTCAGTTAGAAAGTCAGGGGCTTCCACACTGAAAGACAGGCTTAATAACTCACCCATGTGAGAGGAATTAGCAGTTTTAGCCCTGGCTCCTCAACACGTCTCAGAGCCCACAGGCGATGGGGTGCAGTGTTGCTTCTGAGCACCGAGCCAGGCACCAGGACCACGGGGCTGGGCAAGTCACAAGGAAGTGGGTGGAAGCCTTGGAAATCCCTAAGTGCACCTGCTACTCAGTATGGCTCCCCAGCCCTGGGGACAGAGGAAGAGGGTGATACGTCCCCTAACATGGAAGGAAAGGGTTAAGTTTGGGCCTCACAAGGCTGCTGCTGCTCAGGCTCCCGGCTGGCTCCTGGCTCCCGGATGGGGAGGGGATGGGGAGGTCCGGGGGCCCTGGCATGGAAAGACCTGGCCCTCTGCCCAGCCCTAAGCTGTAGGACAAGAGCCAGACGCTCAAGCTGACTCACCAGGAAGGCAGGGCTGTGGAGGGAGGGAGGGAGGGAGGGGCCTAAGGGAGTGGGCGGGGCCTGGCTGCTGCAGAAGTTCCTTGGTCACCTGGCTGGGGCTGCACCTGTCTCTATTCATTGTCTCCTGCGGCCTGCGTCCCACAAAGGGCTGAGGGGTGGCTCTGGGAGCTGGGCCTGCTGAGGAGGGTTCCCGTCTCAGTCAGGTGGGGTCTTGGCCATAGCTGAAAGTGAATCTGTGCTGTCCGCTTCCTCGGAAGGCTGCTGTGAACACTTGAGCATGGTGGACCAGCAGAGAACCGCCTCAGCTCTCATTCACTGTGGGTGGAGAGGAGCAGTGATGGGAAAGACCTGCCTGCCTGCGCTCGGCCACCTCTAGCACCTCTCTCCTGGGGCTGAGGACAGCTCCCATAGGTTCTCTCCAGAGAAGGGCTAAGCAGGAGGGAGCAGGGGGGAAGTGGGGGGGGGGGGGCAAAGAAGTGGGAGTGTGGCCCAGGGAACCTCCCGGAGGAGGCCAGCCTGGGTGGGATCTGAGGTGACGAGGGAGGAATCACCCATGCAGGGAAGGGCGAAGAGCCCAGGAGAGCACAGACGCTCAAGTGTGGGAACGTATCTAAGAGGTGACAAGGGCTGGCGCTTAGGGGTACACTGCTTACCTAGCATGCCTGGGGACCTGGGTTCCACTCTCAAGCACAGCAAAATACACACACATGCATGCACACACTGTCTGTCTGTCTGTCATCTATCTATCTATCTATCTATCTATCTATCTATCTATCTATCTATCTATCTATCTGAGAGAGAGAGCTAGAAAGCTCTAGAAGTTCTAGAAATATGGTGGGAATGTATTTCTATGGATGGAGGGGGGACCCCTAGAAAATGAAGCCATGCGGGCAGATCCTAGAGTACACAACTTACAGTAAGAATCACCCACAAACTTCAGCTGGCTGCACCCTCAGCTCCCAGGGGTCTGGGAGTCTGGGTTGTGTAAGGAAGAAGTTACTTGAACAGTGGAGACTGTGAGGAGGGAGTAGACTGGGCCTGTCTGTGCACAGAGGAGCGTGAAGACCCAGTCCATCCTGTTCCTGCCTGTCCTGGGGGGAAGACTGCCTGGATTCATGTACATAGAGCATCGTGAGAACAAGTTGGCTTAAGTGACTTGTGGCTCTTCCAAGGATGTGATGTTTGGGGGTTCCCACTTGGGTCTCCAATCCCGCCCTCTCTGCTGCGTCTCTGGAGCAGATTCCTCTGGGTCACGGTGTATCTTTTCCCTCTTGCCCTCAGCTCAGCGCTCTGCTCACGAGCTGCCCATGGTGGAGAGACAAGACGTGGACAGCTGCCTGGTCTATGGGGGCCAGCAGATGATCCTCACGGGCCAGAACTTCACAGCTGAGTCCAAGGTTGTGTTCATGGAGAAGACCACAGGTCAGTCACTTTCTCGCTTTCCCTTGCTTCTCTGAGACAGACAGAAGTGAGCCTCACACTACACTCAACCTTTTGGGTAACTTCCCCTTCTTCTGGCTCATTCCCCCGTGATCCACAGCCACACAGGGTACCGTTGATGTGGGTGGCATGCTTGAATTGGTCTTTGAATGTTTCCTTGGAGACTGAACTTGTCTCCTTTCATCAACCTTGTTTTTGTTTTGATATATTTTCCTCGCATAGGCAAACATTTTTTAAAAATACCTTTTCCTTTTCCTATTTCTAAGAGGAGAAACTGAGTGCTTTGCAGCTCTGAGGTGGGCACTGGGGTGTGAAGTGGACACTTTGTCACTGAGGTTTGTTGCATAAGAGAAGCAGTGTGGGAAGAGGCTGAGCTGGAATGTGGGTCCAGTTCCTTTTGGAAATGCGAATGTTGGGTCTGATGAACTCTGGACCTCCTTAGACAAACCAGGGTCTCATCTATCCAAGGCAAGGTGTCTGGGAGTGAACAGCCATGGGGTCTAGATGGAGTGGCAGAGTCTGGCTAAGGGTAGCATTGAGGTCTCTCTTAGACTCTGATTAGATGACTCACAGGATAGTCCCCAGTGGGGACAGGGAGAGCAGCAAGCAGATTTGGGAAGCTCCATTGCTGTCACAGCAGCCGGAGGGGACAGCAGAGCAAATTCTGTGAAAAGCCTGAGGTCTGAGCAATAGGTGTGGCGATCTGAGGCGCCTGTGTCCAGGTGGCCATGGGGGCAGGAGACACACTGGGGTCAGAAGTGAAAGTAAAAGTGACAATGTAGCCTGTCCCCAGGTGGGAGGGGCTAATGGTCATGTCCTTTCCCAGTCACAGTTGATACCATTGCTGGACAAGAGTGGTGGGGCCGTCTGTGAGCAGAGCATGTTCCCAGCATCCCTGACTCCCCCACCTTGTGCTCTGAACTCTGCCCAAGTCCTGATGACTGAAATCCATGCAATCATTGCCCAGTTCATCTTGACAGGCAGAACTGACCCTCGTGGTGAATCAGCAACAGGTGGCTTAGAGGTCACTGGAAAGGTAGGAAAAGAACATAAGTGAGTGTTAGGAGACCCCAAGACAAGGGCAAATGACCTGCTCCCTGTCACAACCCCTTGTGTCCCACTGGAATGCTCATACAGACGGGGAGCAGGCAGGAGCCAGGGGCTGACCCACTCCCCACAGGGCTCTGCTGGCCGAGTCTCTCTGCTTACACGGACGCATTTTTGAGTCTGTCGTTTCACTTATGCTATTCTGGCTGCATGAACGTTTGTGCCGATGCTTCCTGGTCTTTCAGAACCTGGCTATAAACAGACACAGCATATCCCGCTGTGATAATGTCTTGCAGTGCGTTATCAGCCCATTTCCTTTTTATCGAGAGTGTGTAACCCGGGTAGAGACATGGTTCTGTTTGGTCTGGGCCCGAGAGTTAGTTACTTTTCCCATTGCAGTGTTGGCCACCTTAACAAAAACAGCTAAAGGAAGGGTTTGCTTTGGCTCACAGTTCAAGGGTCAAGTCCATCACGAGCAGCTGGTCACAATACATCTGTAGTCAGGAGACGCAGAGTCCTGAGGCTAGTGTTCAGTTCTTTTCTTCTTTTAGCTTGGTCAGGCAGTTAGAGTGGGTCTCCTTTAACCTCGTCTAGATCACCACTCACAGACACACCTGGAGATTTGCTTCTTGGTTGACTCCAGATCTTTGTCAAGTAGACAATATTAACCACCACAGCATGCTGAGGTTATAGGCTGCCTTTAGTGAATTCGAGTAACAGGAACTGTCAATGCCCAGGTATCAGCACGCTCTCCAGGTTGGATGCATCTCCAGGATCAGGACACTATTCTCAGTCCTGCTGTGAATATTGACAAGACAGATGGGGCTTTAGAGCACCGTGAGGGGAACAAGCTAATAAGATACAAACGTTTTGTCACTCATGTCCAAGGTGGCAGCGCCTGTGTCGATAGGGACCTCTCAGAAAGGATGGGAAGATGGAACCTACTGAGACCCTCCTGCTGGGGGCTGCCAGCGAGTTCCTGGTGTCTGGGTCAATAGCTTTGATGAACTGCTTGCTGAAAGAGTGAGCGAGTGGGCTCTGACTGAGTGGCGTTGGCTGTAGTAAGTCTTTTCGTGGACCACCAGCTCCCAAATAATGACCCAGAGACTTCTTATTAATTATGAAAGCTTGGCCTTGGCTTAGGCTTGTTCCCAACCAGCTCTTATAACTTAAATGAACCCATTTATATTAATCTACATTCGGGCATGTGGCTCGTTACCTCTCCTCCATACTGTATATCCCACTTTCTTCGTGTCTGGCTGGCAAATCTCTCATCTCTCAGATCTCAAACCTCCCCCCCCTCCACTCCAGTTCCTCTTTCTCCCAAGAAGTCCTACTTAGCCTCTCCTGCCTAGCTATTGGCCATTCAGCTCTTCATTAAACCCATCAGAAGGTGCCTTGGCAGATGAGGTTAAACAGCGACCCATCTTCACAGTGTACGAAGGGTTACCCCACACCAGTGGACTGCTCTGCAGCTCTCCCGAGTTCCAGAGCCATCCATCCCTTGACCTCACCATCAGAAGCATTTGGCCTTGAAAAGTCAAGTGGGAATAATCATAATGGCACATGTCCCACCTAACTCAGCATGCTGAGTTATTATTATGCCATTATTATTAAGCGGACAGTCAAGGTCGGGGCCCTCACCCGTAGACATATGCAGCCTCAGCCTGTGGTTGGGCTTCCTTCTGTGAACTGGCACTTCAGTCCTGCCCCTGGAGTTGGGGGGCATATGGGAGTCGAGTGCCCTGAGATCACAGCTGTGGTCATGAACACTTGTGACTGTCTTGGTGGCCCTCCAGCCTCTTCAGAGCTCCGGCCACATGCCTTGTGTGAGGCACATGGTGTCTGTGTAGGTTTGGATCGGACAAGCTTAGGAGGTGGGGGTGGGGCTGCCAGCTGCATGGTCCCAAGCCCAGGTCCCAAAGTCCCAAGCCCAGGCTTTGAGGTCAAACTGTGTGACAGTTAGTTTTTAGTGCCACCTTGTCACAACCTGGAATCACCTGGGAAGAGAGGTGGTTTGTTTGGGGTTTTTTTGTTTTTCGAGATAGGATTTCCCTGTGTAACAGCCCTGGCTGTCCTAGATCTCACTCTGTAGAGCAGGCTGGCCTCAAACTCACAAAGATCTGCCTGCCTCTGCCTCCCGAGTGCTGGGATTAAAGGCGTGCACCAGCATCACTTGGCAGAAGAGAGTTTTAATGAGGAATTGTCTAGATCAGATAACTGACATGTCTGTGGAGAATCACTCTGATGTGGGAGGACACAGTCATTATGGGTGGCACCATCCCTTAGGCACAGAAGAAAAAAAGGCTGCCTGCCCATAAGAAGCAAACAGGCAGCATGGCTGCATTTATTTCTCTGTTCTTGATTATGGCTGCTGGGTGACCAGCTGTCTCAAGCCCTTGCCTCTGTGGCCTCCATGAAATGATGGTCTCTGATCCACAATTGGAAGCCAAGTAAACCCTTTCTTTCCTGCACTGCTTTTTAAAAAATTTTTATTTAATGCTGAATGCCATTTATTGAACAGGGAAGAAGTCTTAAATACAGGCTTACAGCACAATGGGAGGACCCCGGAGGGCAGAAGTTCACTACTGATGTTTTACAATCTTGCATCTAAGCTGCTAACGCCCATTATGCAGGATACACAGACAAGGAACTTCCCTTAAGCATTTAGGAGGGTGGAACCCAGCAGGGAATTAGCATAGGGAGGATGTCAAGGTCAGCAAGCAAGGCAACAGTTACCCAAAACGGGGCCAGGACCCTACAGGTCCCCCTTTTACTAAAAAATGAGCTTTTGACTTAGGTTGCGTAGGACATCAGCAGGTCACCTTACCTGTCATGGAGACATCTGCCCAGTCCGCACAGGCATTCTGTCTTAGGTTGGTGAGCGCCCCCCAGGCATTACCCGTCTCTTAATACTCATTATCACACAGGCTCAATCGTGTGTGAGCTGCAGAGTTAACTGCTGCCAAAGTTCTCAAAGTGACACTGGGCTTGCAATCTGTGTGTTCGACACAGAAAAGACCAACAGAGGTCCTATCCCACCCATAGCCAGTAGGCTAAAGGTAACTGAGCCATTCCCTTCCTTAACGAGCCTTACTGCACACAAGAGTCCTTGTAAGATGGTATCCCAAAAGCAAATGGAACTTGAATTTATAAATTTATAACTTTCAAAGCCAATCGAAATGTATATAACTATTGAATTAAATTTATCATGCCCAATAGAATGAAAGATTAATTAACTGTGGTAGCTACTTTTGCTGCCAGGGCCTGCATTGCTTTTTATCAAAATATTTTATCACAGCAGCAGAAAGGAAAGCAGTCAGAGCTCAGTTGCTGTCCCACCCTGGGTAGATTACTGGACCTCTCTGAGAAAGAACTTCTTTTGGTCAAATTCATGTGATTCACCATCCTGTGGAGTCGAGAAGATGGGAAGGGAGCATGCAGGCTGGGCTCTGTACACAGACAGGGCTGAGTCCACTGAGAATGTTCATAAAATGTGAGCTGGGTGACCAGCTGTCTCAGGCTCCTGCCTCTGTGACCTCCATGAAAAGATGGACTGTGACCCACCACTGGAAGCTGAATAAACCATTCTTTCCTTTTGTTTTGACACTTTGCAAGGGAAGAACAAAGCCAAGAGTTCACTCGGAGAGCCAGGAGACATTCAAAAGCAACAGTCACTCATCCTGAGCTAAGCTCTGGTCTAAGCATTTGCCGAGGTTAGGCAATCTGAGTCCCATGATAGCCCTCCAACTGAGCTACTCTTCCCCAAGTTCTACAGTGAGACCAAGCACAGAGGTTAGATGACATGATGAATACCACCCAGCTGGTACCTGGTGGTTCAGGCAGCGTGGCTCCAGGGTCTGTAAAAGTGCAGATCTGGCTTGATTTGCTCTAAGATCCTTCTTGTTCCCCAAAGCATGGGCTTAAACCAGGTT